AACTGGGGATTCTGGGCACTGTCAAGTAGAATCGGGGGAGGGTCCCCGTGTACCATCGCCTAGCGACACCTCTTTAAATGATAAAACAGAATGAAAATAGTCACGATTGTTTTTCTTACCTTCTTATAATAATTGTAAATATATACCACAGAAGACAGATTTGGTTTGGAAGTCATGGTACTGTTCCTGACTTCTGTACGCACTTTATTTTGAGATTATGATCTGGATTTTCTCTGTTTTTCATTTTTACCGGAAATTCTTATGAAGTAATCGTCTCTTTGTACGCTCCATTTTCTAAAACAAAAAGCCTTACTAGACAAAGAACTCGTTACACCACTAATTGTGAAACAATAGATTATACTAAGCACAAGAAGGAGCTTTCGAAGGCTTTACTGTATATATATATATATAGGATAACACAAACCATTCTCTAGAGTCTAGAACACAAAGTAAACACGGAGATCGTGAAGTAGATAATACAATGAAATATCTAAGGGACTAAATAAAGACCGTAGTGTTAAAATGTAATAGGCCTAATACTAATGTCCTATGAGAAGTATTGTTAACTATAAATTTGCTTCGCCAGTTTAGAAAAGGCGTTCACCCCATAACAATGAAACATCTAAGGGACTAAATAAAGACCGTAGTGTTAAAATGTAATAGGCCTAATACTAATGTCCTATGAGAAGTATTGTTAACTATAAATTTGCTTCGCCAGTTTAGAAAAGGCGTTCACCCCATAACAATGAAATAGTTAAGGGACTGACTAAAGACAATAGTGTTAAATAGGCCTAATACTGATATCTTATCACAAATATAATTAAATATAATCATGCTTCGTCAGCTTTGAAAAGGCGTTCACACTATAACAATGAAACAAGTGGGAAGGAAGTGCGTTTTATACCATAAGGATCGAACCTCAAATTTTAGCATTATATGCTTTCGAGCCTATTACTGAGCGATCAGCACATTTCTGTGTGGTTGATATTCCATCTTATCACAGTACCAGACGAGTAGTTTATTTAATTAAACCATAAATAGAAAGAAGTAAAAAGAACTGTAAACAACGACGCGCCACGTTCTCGCTTTGTTGAAAAAAATCTCATACGATTTCCGCCCAACTTATGAAAAACAAAAGAGCTCAGTATGTGAAGAGGTACACAACCCGTGGAAGATACGAGTCTATCAGTAGATAAAACGTTTGTGAGGATAGACATTTACGAAAAGAGAATGTATATATATATATATGTATATAAAGATATATATATATGCAGAGGCGTCGCTAGGCACTTGCACACGGGTCCCATGCCCCGAATTTCCAGTCGGTTTACTTGAAAAATCAGAATAGTGAAACGCCGAAAGTTCCCGCGCTTGTGGGTCCGAGACTCCGAATCATTTAAGCACCTAGCGGCACTTCTGTATAATATATATTTTATCTCAGAATACACAAAATTCCTTTTATAAAGAAAAAAAAAATTTATTAATAAAAATGCTCAAGTTGGGACGGGTTCAAAAAAATCTGATTTTTTTACATACATCGGACCAACCCATCTTCCCTGAGATTCTAAACGATCATTAGAGGTGACCGGTATTTACTAATTTTGAAAATATGGAATTTTCAAGCCTAGGCGGCACCTTCGGAGCACGTGGGCTAAACAACTGGTTAGAGATCCCTGGTGGTACAGCGGTATGTCTGCGGACTTACAACGCTAGAATCCGGGTTTCGATACCCTTGGTGGGCAGAGCACAGATAGCCCATTGTGTAGCTTTGTGCTTAATTACAAACAAAACAACTGGTTAGAGATCCCTGGTGGCACAGCGGTATGTCTGCGGACTTACAACGCTAGAATCCGGGTTTCGATACCCGTGGTGGGCAGAGCACAGATAGCCCATTGTGTAGCTTTGTGCTTAATTACAAACAAAACAACTGGTTAGAGATCCCCTAATCCTAAGTATCAGTCACAGCTATCAATTAATTTTGAACTACTGAAACCAGAGGGAAGACAGCCAACCAGCAGAACCCGTCGCCACAAAGGCTCTGTCGGATCTTTGAAGTGAGTAACGAAACTGAATGTCACTTCTATAACGCGTCCAGAGCTAAAAGTATGGAACCTGTTGAGCGGCATGACGTCTCAAGCCTCGGATCCGCTGTTCAAATACTCTAACCACTATTGCACGTAGAACATGCCAGAATGCTTGAACATATTTGCACGCATTGTGTGTTGACGTGTAATTACTTTCAATGTACTGCTTACCCTTCGTTTTGTTATATCAGGGGTAATTTTTGACCCTCAAATTAGTAACTTCCAGTTATAACGTTTATTACCGGCGAAGTCTACATATTGTATCATAGTGATTTTATACTACAATACCCCACGTAAAGTTTGTTTGTTGTTAAGCCTAAAACTACAACAGTGTAAAGAGCTGCCAAATAATTAAGTGAAGCCATTTATTTTCTTCATAAAGTACAAACAAGATGCAAGTAGTAAGGAGTGGGATTAATTACAACATTGCTGGTATTTTGTTTATATTTGTTTGTGACACGTGTGTTATTACGAGTCACGAGCCCACAGTCTATTCTGTACACAGTTGAGAAACGTGTTTAATTAAAAAGTCGACGACTCCATTCTCGTGTTAAAGCGAGTAAGACTTTACTAATACCAAGACGTGTTTCACACCGATTGGTCAGAATTTAAATAGAAAATAAGTACTTTCAAATCTTCCTTCTCAGAGTAAGACTCGAAATGATCAAATTTCTTTGTTGAAATATAATATTCACAAAAGGTCTGAATTGTTCAGTGTATAAGTAGGTAAACGTAAAGGTCAAATCTTAGGAATTCTTTGTTACAGACTTAAGTTACTCGGATTACTTTGTATGTAGTAATAATAGCTGCTGATTGTGACATGGCATTACTCATGTGCGCAACATTTGTAATTTTATTCTCCGTTATCTCATCGGTCCAGATTTATTGCCCGTATAATGAACTCCATAAAAAATTAAACAAACTTTATCTACTCACGCGTATTTCTCTTCACGCGGAGAGGTGGGTGTTCATATTCAGATCACGCTTCGAAAACACGAGATATTCAAATAAAACCAGTTTCAATACACGGTGATTCAGTTAAGTGACGTTTCAATAATTTTAGATGATTACGTATTATCTCTCTTGTGCCATTCCTATTAAGGTAGTGGTTCCCAAAATTTTCAGGTGTGTTTATCACTTCTTATTGAAACCTAGACCTATCTTTGGGGCTTAGAGTCCGTTTTACTATACCATATAGTAACCTAAACTAATTTGGGTATATTGAATAATGTTATGACATTTCGTCGAATTCATTATTCGATATTGTACAACTGTTTAATGATTGTGTGTAGAAATGTTAAAGATTTCTTATCTTTCAAAAAAAAAAAAAAAAAAGACTGCTTTGAATTTCGCGAAAAGCTACTCGAGATCTATCTGCGCTAGTCGATCCTAATTTAGTAGCGATTAACAAGAAGGAAGTTAGCTAGTCAACACCACCCACCGCCAAATTTCGGGCTACTCTTTTACCAAGAACTTGTGCAATTGATCGTCAAATTATAACGCCCCCAAAGCTTAAAAAAAAAAAAAAAAACAACAAGAATGTACGGTGACAATGGCTCGAACCCGCAGATTGCGTGTCGGGCGCTCCTAATCTCCAGGCCATTAGGAATTAGACAGAATTACGATGACAAGAATGTCAGGTACGTTAAATGAAGAATCGTGCTACATCCCCCCCCCCCCCAAATAGACCACATGAAATGAAGAATTGTAGTTTGATATATACATATTAGTCAATCGTTTACCCAGCTTTTGGAAAAGTCACGTTTACAGTTATTTCATCCTTGGGATCCCAATTTAATCTGGCAACAATCTTTTCTATACTGTAATGGTTCATTTCCTAAAAACTCTTGAAATGCATTCTAGTTTACCACTGGCTTCTAAAAAACGTTTAATTTCCAAGTGTACGGGGGATTTTGAATGGGTGTGTGGAAATTGGAAGCCCATACAAAATACTCATTTTAGCAATATGAAACTGCTGCCATCTAGCGACAAGGAAATGAATTGATTGACTATTTCAAGCACATTATCTATACCCTGGTAAGTGGTGAATCACGTCTTTATTATGGAGAATCTTACACATTGTGTTAGCCGCTTATATTTGTTTTCGTGAAACTAAAGCGCAAATACATATGCTATTTAGCTTTTATTTAATGACACTTCGAGTTGACGATCTAAACGTGATGTTTTATGTTTCTCTATTAACAACAGAACTCATTTCATTGAAACCTCAAGGTTACGAGAGTACATCTCTAACAACGGTAACACTTGTTTCACTTACGGTACAATAAATTACCATTTTTTTTTCCTCATTCAGATTATATTTGTAGTAAGGTAAAGCATTAGTTGTGAACAGTAGACATGCTGTATCCTGGTTGGATTTTGTGTGCTTGATATGAAATCCCCGAGTACAACATATTGGAGAAATTGTGTAAAGATAACTTTGTTAGCAACGATCAAACACTAGTAGTTCCATCTGGTGGAAAAATTAGATACCATAAATTTAAAAAAATGTGGGGATGGATACAAGTCAAAAACAGAGAAAATCAGCTAATGGCCCAAATGAAGTGTCAGTAAATCTAATAAATTTTGTGTAGAAATGACAGAAAGTCTTTATTTTTCTTCACAAATGAATAAACACAAAATTTCGGTCTAACGACGAACATCATCGACTGTTTTACCATTACTGGAATACACGCTTTGTAAACTTGCTATAAACGAGGTCAGTTATACTTTCAACTTAAACCAGTGTTTTACAAAGTTGCATATGGCACTAAGAGAAAACAAGTCAATGTCGTTGGAATATCCTTTATTGGAGAAAACAAACCACTTCACAAAAATAAACTCCACTTAATAACCTGAAAATGTAAAAAAAAATAAACTCAAATGTTTTTGTGTCTTGTCATGGGCTGATCCATGGGGGCAGTAAATCAAAGGAGAACATTTAGCAATTAGCAACTAACGAGTGAAGCCTAAAATTCTAAGGGGGAGAGCACAAGGAAACTCTGGATAACACAACTGTGCCAGCCGGTTTGAATACTAACTAGTTGGTTTGGTCGAGAAGAGAAATGGTAGGATTCTTATAACATTTCCTGTTCAAGCTTTGGCATTGATGATTTCAACAAAGTCCGGTTTTAAAGAGGCTCCACCAACAAGGAAACCATCCACATCTGATTCTTTGGCTAGTTCTTTGCAGTTTCCTGCAGTAACGGATCCTATGAAGGAAAAGAAAAAATATTATAAATAAAGGCTAACCAGGATGCAATTTTTATCATTATATTCAAAAACTAATGGAACTTTGTAGAATGGACGGCAAATGCCTGTTGTACAGACACAAGTGTAGAGGACGACGTTTCGAAAGTCTTCCGCCTTTCGTATTCAGACCGTATATCCGATGTGAAACTGCCAGCATAGTCACGCACGCACAACCATTCCAACTCAATACCTTCAAAATCCTGACTCAGTAACTGCAAACTAAACATATGTGCAACGCTCATCCTGACTCAGTAACTACAAACTGTAAACACATGTGCAACACTCATCCTGACTCGGTAACTACAAACTGTAAACACATGTGCAACACTCATCCTGACTCAGTAACTACAAACTAAACATATGTGCAACGTCCATTTTGACTGAATACCTTCAAACTGTAAACACATGTGCAACACTCATCCTGACTCGGTAACTACAAACTGTAAACACATGTGCAACACTCATCCTGACTCGGTAACTACAAACTGTAAACACATGTGCAACACTCATCCTAACTCAGTAACTACAAACTGTAAACACATGTGGAACACTCATCCTAACTCAGTAACTACAAGCTAAACACATGTGCAACACTCATCCTGACTTGGTAACTACAAACTGTAAACACATGTGCAACACCCATTCCAACTCAATACCTTCAAACCGTAAACACATGTGCAACACTCATCCTAACTCAGTAACTACAAACTAAACATATGTGCAACATCCATTCCAACTCAATACCTTCAAACTGTAAACACATGTGCAACGTCCATTTTGACTGAATATCTAAAAACTTCACTGTATCTGTAAATCTAATTTATAAAAGCCAATTGTCTTTTGGTAATGCTCTGGTCATTTGTGTTGCTCAGTGGAAAAACTATGACCTGATGATGTAGTTGTAAGTATGTATATAATACTTCGAATGTTCACGAGGGTTGGCTTGAATTCCACTTTTAGTTTTACGTTTAATTTATGCATAAACTTAGCTTGCTGTAGACATTTTGAAGTTCTTGGCAAGTTTTAAAAACATCTAAGTTAGAGGTTAGTGACCATAATTCCTATGTTTTTATTAGGTTTTTGCAGTTTCATGACTACTTTTTTTTTTTGGTTAGAACATCAATTTTTTCTTTCTTCCAAATGTATTGCCATTAATCTTAACTAACAATAGTAACTGACATTACATTTTTTATGTTCAAACTTTGTAATTTAATTTTTATCATAAACCTTAGGCCTACTGGTTTAGGGTGTTTCATTTCCTTTTGATATTTAAACTCTAATCAATTTCTTGAGGGTGTACTTAAAAGCTTTTTATTCTTTTCAATATGTGTTTTTCTTTTATGAAGAAGGGAACGTTTGGTGAACAAAGCTCGCTAAAGGAAGGGCAGGGGCTTCCTTTTAATTTGTCTATTGTGAATTTCAAATTACAAGCACTCAGAAACATTTTAAATCTATTTTGTCTCTCACAAGTCACTGCTGAAGAGGCCTTTCAATCGATATCAGAACTCATTAGCTAGTGCTTAATGATAAGAGAAAAAAAAATTCTCCGAAATACAATTTATATACAGAGCATAATACCTTCAAAGTTAAGGTTTAATTGCCAAAACGTTAGAAACCGAAGGGCCAAATATTTTTTATAAAAACTATGTTAACTGCAATGTATTTTTTTCCATATTCCTCTTAATTTGTCTGTTGCACAGATTCAAAATAATAAAGTGAAAAAAAAAAACATTTCAGATCTATCTTTTGTCTCACGCAAGTCACTAAAATCCCAGAACTCGTTAGGCTGGACTAAAAGATACTAGAGATAGGCGTGTACATACATTCTGACTTAATATCTACAAACGGCAACTGTATGTGGAAGACACAATAATCTTACCTCCATAAATCAGCCGAGTTTTACTGGCCACGTCAGCCGAGACATTATCCGTCAACCATTTCCTAAGCTGTGCATGAACCTCCTGTGCCTAGAAAAGAGAATGCAGTTTGAAGAAACATAACAGTCAAACTTCATATTCAGCACATATAAATATACATTCAAAATTTTAATACATGAACTTAGCAAGTTAAAAATGCAATGGGTATTCCATCACAAATGATATCCATACAGATAAGTTACTGTTACTTATGCATTCCTTGACTTCAATGCTACCATAAATTTGGGTTCACTACATACAAATAAGTTACTGTTACTTATGCATTCCTTGACCTCAACACAACCATAAATTTGGGTTCACTACATACAAATAAGTTACTGTTACTTATGCATTCCTTGACCCCAACACAACCATAAATTTTCCCTCGCTTCAGCAACATCACGTACAGATTAACACAGTCCTTGACAATAAGACATTAGGGCATATTCAGTCTTAAATCTTGCTTGTAAAGTTTTATCACCTTCCACACAGATGTATAGATATGCCCAATGTGCTTAGTAATCCAACCAATACTTAACTACTGTATAAATATTACAGTATGTCACCAGTTTGTTACATGGTTGTACTGAAAGGCCGTTTGTGTTCAGTCATCAAACCTACAGTTAACTACTGTATAAACATTACAGTATGTCACCAGTTTGTTACGTAGTTGTACAGAAAGGCCGTTTGTGTTCAGTCATCAAACCTACAGTTAACTACTGTATAAACATTACAGTATGTCACCATTTTGTTACATAGTTGTACAGAAAGGCCCTGTGTGTTCAGTCATCAAACCTATACTTAACTACTATATAAACATTACGCTATGTAACCATTTTGTTACGTAGTTGTACAGAAAGGCCCTGTGTGTTCAGTCATCAAACCTACAGTTAACTACTATATAAACATTATGCTACGTCATCATTTTGTTACATGGTTGTACAGAAAGGCCAAGTGTGTTCAGTCATCAAACCTACAGTTAACTACTGTATAAACATTACAGTATGTCACCATTTTGTTACGTAGTTGTACAGAAAGGCCATGCGTACAGTCATCAAACCTACAGTTAACTACTGTATCAACATTACACTATGTAACCTATTTGTTACGTGGTTGTACAGAAAGGCCATGTGTGTTCAGTCATCAAACCTACAGTTAACTACTGTATAAACATTACGCTATGTAACCAGTTTGTTACGTGGTTGTACAGAAAGGCCATGTGTGTTCAGTCATCAAACCTACAGTTAACTACTGTATAAACATTACGCTATGTAACCAGTTTGTTACGTGGTTGTACAGAAAGGTCCTGCGTGTTCAGTCATCAAACCTATACTTAACTACTGTATCAACATTACGCTATGTAACCAATTTGTTACATGGTTGTACAGAAATGCTCAGTCAAAAGGTCATAAAACATTTAAGTCACAAATGACAAAAATTTGTCTATCTTGGATTCAAAAAAACTAAGTTTACAGTGTATTTACAATCAAAATTTTACACAAGTTTGCTTTCATATTTTGGATGTCTGAAGAAAAAATGTATACATATACATGTATACATACACACACACACGCATATATATATATATATATATATGTGTGTGTGTGTGTGTGTGTGTATGTATGCATGTATATGTATCCACATGTTGACATGTAAACCTTTGAGTTTATTTTTAAACTCTTCACTACTGGTAGGGCTAACATATTAGATATAACTATCAGTGGGGGGCCAATATATCAGATATAACTACCAGTGAGGGCCAATATATTAGACATATTAAATAATTTTATGTTTTGTGGCTGTTAAAACAACAAAAAAATTGGGTTAAATCACTCATATCCTGTGTAAGGTATAAAGGGAACCCAAACAGTAATTAAAGGGATTTAATCGCAACAATCAAGGTATTTTTGTGGGGCTCTTCTATTATTAGTAGACCCTGCAACCTACAGTCATGGACCCAAAAGAAATCTGGTTCATAAACAGTTTACAAAAATATGGGGTCAAACCTCCACCATTTATTTGTTTTGGATATTTGAACAAAGCTACACAAGGGCTATTTATGCTAGGCAATTTAAGGCTTAGCAGTTAGTAATATTTGCTAATTGACATCCTCATTACTTGATTAGAGTACAGTGTTCTTCAAACTACATGCAAGAAAAAAAAAAAACAAGTAGTGGGTGCTGGAAGCCAGTTGCCTTCTCTCTAGTCAACAGTTCACAAAAAACAAAGGAAGTCGGTTGGCAACAGGTGCTGTGAGAGAGTTTGTCTTTTTTCTAGTTAGTAATTCACCATTACTGTCACCAACAATAAAAGTTTGGTGGAAGATGCTGAAACTGGTCGGCTTCCCTCAGACGACAGTTAAAGGTTGGTAAAGTTGCTAGTGGCCACAGTTAAAGGTTGGCAAAGTTGCTAGTGGCCACAATTAAAGGTTGGCAAAGTTGCTAGTGGCCACAGTTAAATGTTGGTAAAGTTGCTAGTGGCCACAGTTAAAGGTTGGTAAAGTTGCTAATGGCCACAGTTAAATGTTGGTAAAGTTGCTAGTGGCCACAGTTAAATGTTGGTAAAGTTGCTAGTGGCCACAGTTAAAGGTTAGTAAAATTACTAGTGGCTACAATTAAAGATTAGTAAGTGGCTAGTTGCCACAGTTAAAGGTTGGTAAGTGGCTAGTGGCCACAGTTAACGGTTGATAAAGTGGCTAGTGGCCACAGTAGGTTTGCCATAAAAAAAAAGGACAAGCAAGTTTGATGTCAATATTTTGATTACTTGGAGAGTTGGAATAACCAAAAATAGTAATAGTTGGAAACCCTAATTTTGTTTAACCAATTCCTGAAATAATCAAAAACAGTAATCCCTGCTCATAGATAACTGATTAAATCCCCCAACATCTACAAAAACAGTAATCCCTGCTCATAGATAACTGATTAAATCCCCCAACTCTACAAAAACAGTAATCCCCGCTCATAGATAACTGATTAAATCCCCAAACGCTACTAGATATCTCTAATTTTGAACTGACACACTAGAGGGAAAGCAGCTAGTCAACAGAACCAACTCTTAGGCTACTATAATTGAATAGTGGAATTTACTTGTCATTCTTATAATGAACCCATGGGCCTGAACTCCAAGCACAATTCTGAAGTAACAGCATGTAGCACACTAATCACTAGGCCTTGCTCAACACCGGAACACCATCAGTAATTTTAGAGTTCACAAGTTTAACTCAAACTATCCAATCCTTTATTTTTCACCATTAAACCAAAAAAAACATCATAAAATAAAATCAAGAAGCATACTTACTTGCTGGGGCGAGGCAGTTTTTCCAGTTCCAATGGCCCATACTGGTTCATAAGCAATAACAACTTTACTCCAGTCAGACACCTTATCTAAAGAACATAGAAAGAAATAAAATATTATTATGAGGAAATTAAACACAAACCAAGGTTTCTTCATTACTTTTATAAATTTACATTTTGATCTTGTACATAGAGAGGAGAAGAAATTTGATCCCTCTCGTAGCATTCTTAAACTTTATGGAAATTTTAATTTTTCAATATCCGTTACATAGGATAACGTAACTACTAAAACTTAGGGTTAAAATACACATTTTTCCTCATTTAAAAATTATGTCTAGAAAAATACTTTATCAAATAATCAACTGAACAGTACAAAGGATTTTACTTGGACTGCACTGATATGTGAAGGATTAATACTGCCAGTAATAATGAGTATAACTTGATCCTACTCTTAAAAACTTGAAAGCAAGTAAAACATGTCATTAATTACACGTCATCTGGACATTAATATACACTAAGATTGCACCAGTTTTATTTAACCACTGAAATGACGTACAACAACTTCTGCCCAAACACACACACACAAAAATGGAAAATTACGTGAACACCCGAGTCATTAAATAGCATCTGGATTCATTATTACCAATATGATCCTTTAACACTAATTTATATTTCAGGTATCAAATAATAACAATTTTTTTTGCTTTCTTTTTCCTCTTTAAAATGGTATGTCTTACGACTTCCTCTACAAGTGATTCTTGTTACAAACGTTTACTTAAAAGTATCAAGCATAATAAACTCTTTTACGTTTCAAAAATGCCCAAAAAAGTATCCAAGCAAGCAAGTTTCAGAGTTAAGTTTTTTGGAACTTAAAAGAATGAAACATTGCTGTTGAAAGGCCGTGAGAAAATTGCTTACTGCACTTGGTAGAGGTTAAGTCGTCTTCACAAGTTAGACAAAATATATATGTCATAGTGGTTGGAGATGGCTTGAATGGGTAATGAAGAAAAACTTATATATATAAGTTTAACTTAACAGAAGCATATATATATATATATATATGTGTCAGTATAAACTACTTGTACCCGATGATGACAAAAACCTTGTACATTTGCTGTT